GGTTTCCCGGGGCGGACGGCTGCCCAGGCGCGCCCGTGGGCTCGTCGTTCCCTCCGTATGCCGGCGTAGCCGGGCTGCCCGTGGGCTCGCCCTTGCCTACGCGCCCGATGCCCGCGGGTGTGGTCGTTGTAGTCGACCCTGTCCGCGGCGGCGCGGGGGCGCCCGGCGCCCCCGGGGGCTTGGCCTGCGGCCCTCGCCCCTTTCCCCCTGCGGGCGCGGGCTTGGCGGGCGGTCCTCGCCCCTTGCCTTGCCCCCCACCGCCTGTCGGCGGCGCTGTCGGCCCGGGAAGGGCTGACGGCGTCGGCGCTGGGACCTCATTTCCCCCGCGCCCGAACGGCAGCCAGCCAAGTGCCCCTTGGGCCGTGAAAGCACCGCCCATAACCAAGATCATCAGGTGCGCTCCCAGGAAGCCCACAGCCATGGCACCACAGACGCGCTACCTAGTCCGCGGACTAGTACGGCTGTGGTTGCGGCCGCCCCGCGGCCCCCCGGAACGCCCGCGCGTCGGCCAGAGCCGAACGCTACGGACCCAAAATGGCTACCTGAGCCCACACCCCCTCCCACTTAACCTGCAGTCTACAACCAATCAGACTATGCAAAATCCACGCCCCGCACCATAGCCATTACCACCATCACCGCCATCAGCATAAACATCACCATCACCATGATAATCGTTTCGGTTCCTCGTTCTTGTCTCATCCGCAGGAGGTGCGGCACGCGGCGGGGTGCAGCAACACTCGCCGCACTGCACTGCGAGCTCCATGGTGGTGCTGCACACCATTGTGGTCGGCTCCCCGCTTGCTCCCACGTGCACATGTATTGTTTGTTGACCCCCGCGCGGCCATACGTCACCATCCCCGTCCACCTGGTCGTCTTGCTTGGAACCGACATAGTCCCTTCGGGGCTCCTGGTGTCCATCGTACAGTGGCGGCACCGGCGCCTGGCAATCGTGGCCTCGGCCGAATCATCCGTTTAGTGTCCTTACGATGTATCCGTTTGGACACGAGTTCAACTTGGGTGTTGCGACTGGGTGGAGAATGCACCTCTGCCGCGGCAGCGTCGCACGAATATCTCATTGCCTTTTTCTACTGTAAGGTGGTGTTCAATTTCAAGTTCCTGGTCGCAGCGGCTCATAGTCGCGGCGCTCGCGGCCCCTCACAAGCCGAGGATTCAGCTGGAAGCGGCTACTGGCGGCGGCTCCCACTTGCGACAGCTCCCTCTGGCATCTGCTACTGGCAGCTCCCAGTCGAGGCGGCTTCTAGCTTCTGCAAGCGGTAATCAGTCGCGGCACCCGCTGGCGGCGGCTCCTACGCAAGCAGTTCCAACTGGCCTTCCACTGGCGGGGGCTCCTGCACAGACGCTCCTAAGCACGCGTCTCTTCGATGGAGGGCCCCAGTCCCAGAAGTTCCTCCTACCCAGGCCGTTTTGCTACGCAGGGGGGTCAGGCTGGCGGCGGCTCCACGCAGACGGCTCCCACTGGCCCTCCCATTGGTGGCGGTTCCTACGCCGGCGGTTCCTACGGGCTTTCCCACTGGCGGCGGTTCCTGCGCAGACGTAGCGTTCCTAGGCACCCGGCTCGCACGGGCTGCTCAGGCGGTTTCTACGCAGGCGGGTTTTTGCTTGCAGCGGCTTCCACGCAAGCGGCCCCCGCTGCCCCCCCACTGGCGGCGGCTCCTGCGATTGGGGTTCCTGCTGGCCCTCCCATTGGTGGCGGCTCCTACGCAGGCGGCGCCTTCTCCTACTGGCGGCGGCTCCTACGCAGGAGGCGCCTCCTGGCGGCAGTTCCCACTGGCCCTCCCGCTGGCGGCGGCTCCTACGCAGGCGGCCGCCGGCCCTCCCATGCCTCCTACGCAGGCGTTCCCACGCACGCGGTTCCCACGGGCGGTTCCTGCCCAGGCGGTTTCTATGCAGGCTCGTCTGGCTGGCAGTGTCAACGCAAGAAATCCCCCCTGACACCCCGCCAGCGGCGGTTCCTACGATGGCGGTTCCCACTAGCCCTTCCGCTGGCAACGGCTGCTTTGCGGGCGGCACCTGCTGGCGGCGGCTCCTATCCACGCGGCGCCTCCTGGCAGCGGTTCCTACGCAGGCGGCTCCCACTGGCAGCTCCCGTTGGCCTTCCCGTTGGCGGAGGTCCTGCGCTGGCGGCCACCACTTGCTTCGGCGGCGGCCCCTACGCCAGCGGCTCATACGCGGCGGCTCCAACGGGCAGTTCCCGCCGGCGGCGGCTCCTACGCGGCGGTTCCGCCCCCGCACGCGGTTCCCACGCAGGCTGCTCCTTCGCGACTGTTCCCACGGGCCCGCTGGCGGCGTCTCCACGTGGGCCCCCGCGCGCGGTGACCCCCACGCAAGAGGTTCCTATCGGCGGCCGCTCCAACGCAGGCGGGATTCTCGTCTTTGGGAAGTTGCGCAAATGAGCCCTCATGGCGTAGGTTCCTCCAGGCCTGTAGTGTCTGGGACAGGTCGTTCCCGTCTCACTCGCAGGTGTTGCGGCACGCGGCGA